CCTGCTGGTCTCATCAGGACCTCCAGGACCCGTATCACGGATCCGTTTGGTCCTGCAGGTCTCATCAGGACCTCCAGGACCCATTTCATGGATCTGTTTGGTCCTGCTGGTCTCATCGGGACCTCCAGGACCCATATCATGGATCTGTTTGGTCCTGCAGGTCTCATCGGGACCTCCAGGACCCATATCATGGATCTGTTTATTTTAAATACTTAAAAATGTTGTTTTTTATTTTTAAAAAAATTATTTTTTTTTAGCTTTTATTTTGAAAGTCTATCAACCACGTTGTCCTGTTTCGGTCTCTTCTGTGGTCGTCTTCTGGTGGACCCATTAGGTCTCAGGCTGGACCTTTGAGCTCCGGACCGACGCAGACCAGAGCCATGTCCTCTGGTAAGAACAAGAGCCAGACGTCTCTGGTCCTCCATAAGGTGATCATGGTGGGCAGCGGCGGTGTGGGGAAGTCGGCGCTCACGCTGCAGTTCATGTACGACGAGGTGAGCCTTCAGTCAGGACCGCGTTTCCCACAATCCTCTTTTTGTCTCCTGGGTTCCTCTCAAACTGTGGTCCTGCTTGGACAGTTCGTGGAGGACTACGAGCCCACAAAGGCTGACAGCTACAGGAAGAAGGTGGTTCTGGATGGGGAGGACGTCCAGATCGACATCTTGGACACGGCGGGTCAGGAGGACTACGCCGCCATCAGGGACAACTACTTCCGCAGTGGAGAGGGCTTCCTGCTGGTCTTCTCCATCACGGAGCTCGAGTCCTTCACGGCTACGTCCGAATTCAGGTTCTGCCTTTATTTGATCCTGAGTCAGAAGGAGGTGTCTCTGGGTCCAGGTCCTGGTCTCTGGTTTCTGCAGGAACCAGTCAGCTGCAGGATGTTCTGGTTTTCAGCCATGGAGCAGTTATCTGGACCCTGAACCACCAATGGTTCTGTTCCTGTGGACCGTTTACAGGATGTGTCTTGTCCTGTCCCTCCTCAGGGAGCAGATCCTGCGTGTGAAGGAGGAGGAGGGCATCCCGCTCCTCCTGGTGGGGAACAAATCAGACCTGGAGGACCGCAGGAAAGTTTCTGTGGACGAGGCGGCGACCAAGGCCGGCGAGTGGGGTGTTCAGTACGTGGAGACTTCGGCTAAGACCCGGGCCAACGTGGACAAGGTGAGACAACCAGACCCACCCGGGTTAGTAGCTCCCTCTGTTTGTCTCGCAGGGTCTTTAGAACAATAGGCGTTTAAACCATTATATGTGAAGGGGACGTGTCCCCCGCACATTTAAAAAATATAATTTGGACCCCCCCACATTTACCATGAAACATTAGTTCAGTCTGCGCCATTTATTTTTCTTTGTGAAAGAATCCATTCCACTTGATTAATAGGAGAATACTCGAACCACTGATAGTCCAGTCCAGGTGTTCCTGGTTACCTCCAACCCTCCAGCAGTGTTTCTCCTCTGCGCCTCCTGCCTTCACAGGTCGAAGAGAGGGAGACACCTCCGTGTTGCTCTCTCGCTAGCTTAGAGCAGGCAGTTGTTGGGCGGGGGGGTTAGGATCATAGACATACAGGGCTTAAAGCGCTCCGGCTGGGGCCGCATTTCCAGCTTGAGAGCGAGACAGCCCGCCGGTCCACCTCAACTTAATTTTAGTTGATAGAGATTACATCCAGTCACACTGAAGCTTGCGTTGTCTTCACCAAATCCTGACAGCGAGGCGTGTCGTAGAAAAGCTGCATGTGCGGCGTCGCCATCAAATCAGAAGATGGAGTTCATCACATCGGGACAAACTAAAACAAGTGGTGCTCTGTCTTCTCAGTGACAGGAGGCGATTACGCCGCCTACTCTAGTGTCCGGCGCCGCCTACTCGAGTGTCCGGCGCCGCCTACTCGAGT